ACCCTGACGGAACATATCAATCTCAGGTGCCCACATCTTCACATTGCGTTTGCAGCTTTGCACAACGGTAATGAACTGGACTGCCTGTGCAGTAGAAGAAGCGTCTGAGCTCTGAGTCTCGAGATGCTTACGAGCCTTCTCAATCTCAGCGTTCACCTCGCGCATGCGGTTCCCGAGACGTGTCGCGAATTTCATCAAGATGTCTCGCTGCCATTGATCATACTTGTCGTTAACCTTGGTCTGAACCTGGTAGTAGTCGATTGTGATATGTCCAAACGATCGGCTAACATCTTGCGTGTCAAAGGTAGTGCGGGTCTTGCGGATATCCTGCAAGAGCTCCAACCAACGCGACAACTGCTCTCCCAGGGCATCATACACTTGCTCGGACTGAAGGTCCCACAAGGACTGGAACTGAAGCCACTCGTCAACATATCCGCTGATCTCGGATAGCTTCTTCTCGAGGGAAGTGTACACCCGTTGAAGGATGCCCGTGCATTCGCTGGGTAGGTCTGTGAAGCGAGTCTCCTCGATGACCGCGGTGTTAAGGCTAAGTTGGTACCGAGTGGCCTTGATCTTTCGCAGATTACAGACAATGCCAAGCCAGTCGTGGAGGTGTTGGAACCAGCTAGCCCGGGCAAATTCCAGAGGGGGGTCCAAATAGATGACTTGGTTGCGCATGGCCAACTCAAGGGTCAGAGACTTCATGGAAGGGCCTTCCTGCTTCTTGCCTTCAACGGGAACAGTGTCATCCTCAAAGGCTGAGATCCAAGCCTGGATAGCAGTTTGAAGGCGCGTGAGCAGAACAGATTGTATCTTGGCATTGAGCCCCTCGACCCAAAAGTCCAGGTTGACATATCGCTCCAAGTTCAGCTGATCAACAGCAGACTGGATAGTACTCAAATGAGCCTGTAAAGCCGCAGTATCGTAGTCACACGTCCCGAGATCTTTGAGCGCCTGCTCAACCGTGACGTAGGTGTGACTGAGGGACACAGCCTTACTCTGCAGGGTCGAAACGGCAGAAGCGAAGCCCCGGATGAACATGCCGTGCTTGCTCTCAGTGTTCTTTGTCAAGCCGAGATCAGTGCCTCCAGCGAGAAGTGGTCTTGTTTGTCGCTGGTCAGCGTAGAACAGCTCATGCGAGTTAATAAATGACTCCCATCGCAGAGGCACACCCTCGGCAATCAGCTTATACACATCATTTCGGTATCCATGGAGCAAGACGGCCTCTTCTCCCATAGTAGATATTTGTCGCAGAGTTTGCGAGAGTGTCCTGACACTCTCCATGAGACTAACGGCGTAGGGGTACACGCGCTTAGCATCCTTTGATACCGTGGCAATGATATGGGGAACAGTGTAGGACTGCCATGTGAGGTTTCGAGTCTCCTTGAACAGAGTGATAATCTGAGGATCGAAGTTGACTGTGAGCTCCAGAATGCCGCCTGCTGATCGCACACGGATAATGTCAAAGAGCAAGCCTGAAATGGAAATCTTCCTCCTGGTCACGTCCGTAGCCCAGGCTTCGAAAATCTTTCGTGTTTCGAGCTTTTCCTTGAACTGGTCACTTTCGCGCTGCAGCTTCTCACCCTCGGAGTGAAGTTGCCAGCCAGGTCCGAGCACAGCTTCAACCTTCTTCATGTAGCCATCAAGCTGAAGCTCGATTTGGCGCGCCCAGATGATTGCCCCAGACACAGGAGGGAGGTCACGAAGTTGTGACATGGCGTGTGCTTCAGAATGACCGTACTGCTGCTTGAAACGCTCGTGAAGGCCGTTGATTGCCTGCTTGACATGGTCCATGAGCTGATTCTGGTATTCTTGAATGGCACCTCGAATCTTGGGTCGCACAAACAGCGCGTTGAACTTGGAGAATACGCGGAACATTTCATTTGCCGTCTTCGCTGTTCCGAGGCGATCTCGGAGCCTGGCAATGATGGAATTCTCAACACGAGTTGTTCGCTCATTGTAGAGATTTTCAGCCAACACCCAGCGATCCTTGCCCTGCTCGCTAACATCCAACAGGTCGACATTCTGCAGCGCATCCCAAGCTTGGTTGACTTCCTCGACAGCATCGACGTCGCCCATTTCCTCGATGACGATTCCGTCAGATCCCGTGGCTTCGGGGACGCCTGGGATGGTAGCACTGGGACCAAGGACATTCACAATCGTTCGCTGCAGCTGTTCATGGTTGTCACGGAAGGTGCTCACGTATCGTATCCTCGTCTCCAACTCGGAGTGTTTATTGTTGATCTTGATGGGAATAAACTTCTCGTTTCGTCGTCGAGTTACCTCACGAGCCACGTTGGTGAATTCCTTGACTGAGTCCTCCCAGGTTTTGAAGATGTCGCCGCAGGTCTTCATGATGTGGCGGAACTGCTCGTAGTCCAGATTTACCAGCTCCGTGCCTGGCAGTAGTCGGACCAGCACATCGTTGAGGTCCGCGGAGATGGCTTCAACAAGGGGGAGTGCCCTTCGGATGGGGTAGGGGCAGATCCTCAGCTTCTTGTTCAAGTGATGAAAGATCTCTCGAATGGCATCCTGCGCCTTGAGAAGAGAAGTGGCAGATAGAAGCTCGTCCAACGGGAAGTCACGCATAAGCTGGTTGTACTTCTGTACCTTGTCCATGGCCTCCTTCAACCCAGTGTCCGCTGTGAAACTCACAGTGGCCTGGAAACGCTTGGCATGCTTGAGGATCTCGAGTGTCAGGAGAACACCCTCACTCCTCAATTGGCCCTCGATACCCTCCAGAGCAGACTCCATCGAAAGCCAGAAATTGACCTCCTGGCTTGCCGTGTTGAACTCCTGGTTGTGATGTGACCCACTGTCCTTTGTCATCCTGGTGATCCCCTGAATCGACTTGATCCAGGTGTTGACATTGGCCTGGAGCCTGTTCAGGAACGTACTATCCTGCAACAGGCCGGAAGCGATATCGTCTATCGATGGCCTCGAGTGGCTGGATTGGGCGGCATCGAGCACACTCTGGACGATCGGATGGAAGGTCAACGATATCTCGGGGATGTCGACATTTTGCTGCAGGTGAAGCAAGCTCAGCTCCAGATCGTTCAGTCGCTTCTTCGTAACTGGGATTCCCGTCTTCGAATCGACATCCGGTCGGCCCCTTGATCCCGTGAGGCCCTGAGACTTGGTATTGGCGTCGAAATATGGAACCAGCGCATGATGAACCTGTGAATGGAGAACCTCCCAAGGCGAGAGGGTAGGGCCCTGGTCCGCAACAGCAGCATTAAGAGATGCAGGCCCGGGAAGATTAGTAATGAATATTTGAGAAGTAAGAGGTCGAGTCGGATCAATAGGCTGGGGCGTCTTCAGGAGGATTAGAGAGGCGACAGTGGTGGGGGAAGAGGCGAGCTCGGATGAAATAGTATAGTAAAACGAAGATGGCACTGGCAAACATTAGAAGACCGGAATAGAAGCGAAACAAGGAGGGGTATTCGTTATCCCACCTGCAATGTCGGATCCGTTTTCCACCACGGTGGAGGCGGCAATATCCTTTTGAATGTAGAGAACGTTTTGGGTGTCGGTAGCGAACCGAGAACAACGGGCAACGGTGTCGGTGTAACGGCTCTTGTGCAGAAGGTTTCCCGCCTGCTCAAGCTCCTCCCGCGTGGCGCCGAGGGCGATTTGGCACACTGCTGCCAGGTGCTCGATCAGGCGCTCGGGCTCTATCGTCGGAAACTCGGTTGATGCGACATCGTTCGACGGTGTGCCTACGGTCGGGGAGGTTATCTCCATGGTGGTCGAGGCTGGGGAGCGTCGTATCGGGGGAGTGTGTAGAGATTATCGTAAACGGACAGTCATTTCCAAGAAGTGGCCGCTCGTCCAAACTAAAGGAGTAACGAAAAGCCAGGAAATTATGAAGGCGAATACAGAAAAGTGCTGATAAAGGAGTGTCGATGATCGCTTCGAGCAGAAAAGGAGAGGAAAACAAAAGCTACACGTCCGCTCTGTTTCGTCCGTCGGTTGCTTTGCGATGCCAAGTTAGAATACTGTTATTAATATGAGGCGGTTTTTGGAATGGGTCAAGAAAGAAGAAGCATTGAATAATTACCTACCTCCAGATACGCGACCCCCAGATCCCTGTCGCGAATGAGTGTCAGGAGTCGTGGCTAGCTAAGGGAGCTGTGGGGACCGAGACAAACTGGGACGGCGTTTGATGATAGCCTTGGAGGTTTGGCTGTCTCTGATTGGCTCCGGCAGCTGTGTTGGAGGATGTGTCACTGGGAAGGCACCACTGTGGGTCTTGCCAGCTCAGCTGGATACGTCCAAGGTACTTCGTGTGGATGCGTGCCGCTAGGGACCACCGTGTATTTCCACTGTATTCACCACTCGATGCATTAATTCGTCGACGGCGAAAGGAACCTCACGCGAAGCTGTGAAAGCAATATCGGCAACGTATGGAGCTACGATTGGTGGAGAAGAGAGCAGCCGATTATTGGCTTCCCTTCTAACTGAATATCTCACTTGGATTAAAAATAATCATCTGAGGATACGGGCTATCATGTGCAGCCTCATATATCATATTCACATCTACTATCCTAATATGCAGCACATGCATGAGGTTAACCCAACAGGAAAAAAGCAAGGAGCCACAACATAAATGACTGACCTTATTTAATAAGTCCATAGAAGTTTAATGAAGCCACCCCCGCCTACTCCCATAACAATTCTCACAGTCCACATACACATCAAGAACCATGAAGGATAAAAGCAGCCACTGTAGATCGTTTTCATTGTACCGTACCCAAAATTGTCACTCGTTCTACCAAACCATCCATGATTATCGTGCTTCGTGATTTCCTCCTGTCATAATAGCTACTAGACAATATTCCCAGGTGGTCTAGAAGGCTCAAAACGCCATATACATCCAAACCACAGTTACCTTGGTCCCCCGTCCCTGCATACAGATGTAGACAGTCCCAGCATCGCGCAGACAAAGACCGCTACCCATAACGCCAGATGTGCCCCGTCCTAAAGCTTTTTCTTTGCTATCAAGCACTTGAATTGTTCCCAGGTGTCGGGATCCCGTCCAGAAGTCGCTCTCTTTGCACCATAACACGCTGATTGCAAATATCAATAAACATTTCGAATCGTTTGATCTGCTTGTCCTTCTCTTCGATGTCCAACTTGAGCTGGTCGATTTCCTTCTGTTTCTCTTCCTCGACCTTCTTGAGGTCTTCTCGAGCTTTGGACAGTTCACGGCGCAGCTCTGCCCTGATCCTGTCCTCTGATGATGTCACCTGCTTCGTGTAAATGGTCGGTTGAGGTTCCGTAACGCCAGTCGAGGTCTTTGGAGGATTTCTGTTGATGGCCGCTCGTGCATTATAGATGTCCCGGGGAATCAGGTGGCAGTCCGGGTTGTCATTCTGCAGAATGGCCAAGGTCTCTGAAACGCCAGCGCCTACAACTTGTGAGTCTGCGTTACGAGCAAACTGTAGCTGGGATTTGGGTAGGTCCTTACCACTCTCTTTGAGGTGTTTCACTGCCGTGACCATCTCGCTGCTGAGCTTCCTAGCGGCTGGATGGTTTGATGGGCCCTCGCTAGGCCCATGGTTGTGCTGCAGATGCGCTCGGTCGGGGCGATACCGGATCGTCCACTGCGTTCTCTGCTCGATCGCGAAGAACCCAAATGGGCAATCGCACTTGCGCGAAGACGTTTTCCTCTTGCGGAACTCGGGGCTGACGCGATTCGGAGGCTTGCCAGCTCGATCGCACACGAACAAAACTTTCTTCAGCCCCGGAACCGTCTTCTTTGATCTGCCAATGACAATAGCATAGCCGACCGAGGTACAATATTTCAGCACCGCTTTTTGGACCGCTTCAAGCGTGGGGTAACTACCACCCTCAGGAGGGGGGGACATTAATTCTCCCAGCGGTTGGCTTGGGATGTACGACGAGTCGTCCATCATCTTGCTGGAGTCAATGGCAGGTGTGTCATCGTCACCGTCCTGCTGATTGTCGACCTCCATGTTCTCGCCCGCCTGATGTTCCTGCTTCGATACAACATCTTGCTGCTGAACCGCTTGTGGGGGAGGCGGTTGCGTCAAGGTTTGTTGCTGAGGCGTGTGAGAGGCTCGTGAAGACTTGGGCTGAGGAATAGGCTGGTTTTGCATCTGCGCCTTTACCTGCTGGACCTGGGGAAGCTGCTGGGCTTGCTGAGGTGGTGGAGCCTGCTGCTGAGGTTGTGGTTGCTGAGGTGGGGGTTGCCGGTGTTGGTGCTGAGGTTGTGGTTGGCTCACTGATGGTGCCGAAGGTTGGTGTTGTTGTTGTTGCTGGTGCTGCTGCTGATGCTGCTGCTGTTGATGCTGCTGTTGCTGCTGTTGTTGTTGCTGCTGCTGCTGCTGCTGTTGTTGATGCTGCTGTTGTTGCTGCTGCTGTTGCTGTTGCTGCTGTTGCTGCTGCTGCTGCAAATGTTGGTGTTGCGACGAATACTGTTGTTGCTGCTGAGGTTGGTGCTGGTGAGTCATCTGATGTGGCTGCGACCGACTTTGGCTCAAGTGCTGCGAGTGATGCTGTTGCTGCTGATGGCTATGGGACTGGGCTTGTTGTTGCTGCTGCTGCTGTTGCTGCTGCTGTTGCTGTTGCTGTGGGTGAGGCTGGTGAACTTGATGACCTTGATGTCCCGGGTGTCCCTGGTGGCTAGAAACAGCCTGATGCTGCTGGTGAGCCTGATGGGATTGGTGGCTCTGGTGTCCCGGATGAGACTGGTGCGCAGGATGAGGAAGTCCCTGGTGCTGCTGCTGTTGCTGCTGCTGTTGGTGATGAGCAATCAGCGAATCATGCTGAACCGGCTGTGGCATCGAGGTTGAGAACAGCATAGGAGAAGGGTTGGCCTGGGGTGCAGGTTGCGGCATCTGCTGCCTTGGGGGAGCTGCCCGTTGCCGTGGAACATTGATAGCATTGTGTAGATGACTGTTAGACGATCTCGAAGTGCCATTGGGGACATTTCCATTAAGCTGAGGGGTGAAGAGATGTTGGTGATATGCCTGCGGCGGAGGTTGAGCAGTGTAGGCGTGTGGCTGGTAGGGAGATCCCGAGTGAGATGCCGGCGACTGTTGTTTCTGTTGATTCGTGTGAGGCGGAGGGAAGGCCGGATTTCGTCTGAGGTTGGCCTGGTTGAAGTTCAGACCAGCATGGGGGTTAGCCCCAGAAGGCCCCAAAGCCGACATCGCGGTGTGTTGTTCGTGCCCTGGCACCTTTCCCTCGCGCGTTGCACAGTCCGGCCGTCTTCACGGTGTGCCTTGCCGCCGCTCGCCGTTGTCTTGTGTGGTGGTAGTCGTCGTCGACGTCCCGTGCGGTCCGGTGCCGGGTTTCGTGTCGTGTCGTGTCGTGTCGTGACGGTCCGTCTGGCAACAATCAAGCCTTGTGTCTTAAGCCACTCGAGAGTCCCAGGTACGGGCTGGGGAAAAGGTTGACCTGGCTCGATCGCGTGTATGCGGGCCTGATGGCAGTGAGCCAGGATTGGAGTTGGTCGATCGGTCAGCGAGGCGACGCACTACGCAAGTATCCAACACACGATACGAGCAGCAGAGCCGCAAGGCCTAACAGGAAGCAAACCGAACCCTCGAGATGATCAACTCGTAACCCTCGAACTGGAAGCGACACCAAACCCACCGCTTGAGGTTTGCTTAGCGGTCGGAATTCTGGGTGCTGGACGGGCAGTTTCTGGGGGTGTCGATAACTGTGGTGGGCAAGGAGAGGCGTGGAAGTGCGTGGTTCGGCAGAGGCGTGGGCAGAAGAACCTGAGGGAGGAGCCATACCATGGAAGGACACTCAAGGGAGAGGGGGGAATCGGAGGGGGGGTCACCTCCTCCCTGTGAGCCAGGCCCTGCCTCTCTGTAAGGCCGGCCTGGCTGGTGCATGTTTGTTGCCCGCCTGCCCAGGGAAAAATACGACTGCTGATCCCCTCTGAGCGAATCAGCGCCTGTCTTCTCCGCGCCAGGCCCTAGCGACCGTCCAAAATAAACACGCTATGTCCCTTCTGGGACTAGTCCTGCGCATCGCCTCATAATGCACTACGTACCTCCCTTGGCGCACCTGCAAAATTGCCTGTAAGAACCCGCTAAAAAGGTACTTTGAGGCCACTGCCTACGTTCCACTGCCACTAATATGCAAATCGCCATCGTGTTAACGCATCCATCCATCCCGCCCGCCCCGTGCGCACTCTCCAGCTCCCTACCTTTATGACTGCCATCCTGGCCCCTTGGACCTTGCCTCTTCGATCCATGCATGCTTTGTCTCGCACCGAGGACATGCATACATAGAACTACGTAGTGCAGGTGAATAATCACAACACCTAGGCCAGGATCTGAGGGCCAACCCCATCGCTCCTCGTACCTACCCCAGACCGCACCAAGCACCAAGAATGAATTATTAAGAAGGTTTATGGGGCCGAAAGGCAAATGCAACAAATGCGGTGTGGACTGACTCGGCCTGATTATGGAATCCTTTCATTTGTGGTCAGACAGCGTTACTTCTAGAGGACAAATCCCACTTGCTGGCTCCTTCCGCGGGCTCGGCAGATGTGTAATACTGCATGGTGCCAGACGACACTCTAAATGTAGATACTTGCCCCCCCACTATCCAGCACCTACATTCCATACAGCTTTTCTCAAGGCATTCACACATCGGTCAAGGAATCATGGCATGATATATATTTATCCTATATGGTGCGTAGCCAGATAGGATTCATTCATTTTCATAGCCTGTTTTCAATATAGCTGTTTTAGCTAGTATTTCCTCGTTTTATCCAAAGTCGAGGAGTGTCTGGTATTATTTCCGCTGTCCCAATAAGCGCCCTATTAAAATGGTATCTTGCAAAGAAAAAAAAAAGTCCCAAAAAGTGCAATGAGTGGTCACAAAAAAATCATGCTGATGAATGACGGGGCACGGAGCTCCCGAAAGCTGAAAGAAGAATAAATCCGAAAGCAGAATAGGTAGCAGATTGCTAATGAGGATCACACCTCGATCAGGTTGAAATGTCAGGTCCCAATCTTTTTCTTTTCGATGGACGCCGGCTCACTTCCTCATCCCCATCTACAAAGTGGCCCTT